TGCCTCCTAACTAGGTTAATGTAACACAAACCTCTAAACTCAAGTTAGACATCTAGGTTAATTGTGATTAAGCCGTCCAAACTCCGGTTTGAGGGAGAAGGTAAGTTAACCCCTCTTTTGCCTGGGCCAAGAGGGCTACTTTCGTACCCTATAATGCATTCCTTGGACTAGCGATTGAGAGTGTGTTTTCCAACCACTGTTGCTCCTTCTACGGTTCGCAATCGCCTTGTCGCTCACCAATTCATTCGATCCCATAGTTCATGGTAGTTAGTTAGGGGGAAACAACTCCCGAGTGAAGCTTCTCACCAAGAGTTTAATCCCTTTTACTTTTCAAGCCTTGCATTTTTAATCATAGATTGTAGAGATTCTTTCAAACTTCATTCCGCTAGATGATGTTTCAAACAATTGAAGTAGGGGTACATGGACCGGCCCGGGTTGATATTTAAACATACTTGCCCTATATTGCACTCATTTAAGGTTTACACTTGGGCCTTATGTGGGATTTAAATGTGATATTCAGAGCGAGTCAAGTTTTTGGTGTCGTTGCCGGGGACATCAAGTTGGTCCCGGATTTGGAGGAGTTGATGTAGAAAGAAGTTGAGATGGTAGGGAATCAACATCGAGGTGCTAATCCGCTCCAGAACCAAAATGAGGAAACGGGAGCCGAGGAAGAACCGAAAACTATGGGCTATTACATGGCCCCATGGGCGGCGGATATCCAATCTCCTATCCTACATGCACCCGTGGCCGCCAACAACTTTGAAATCAAGCCTGCTCTTGTCACGATGATTCAAAACAACGCCTTGTTTCATGGGCTTGCAACTGAGGCTATTCCCCTAATCTCTTGCGGGAAGGCGCTCTGATGGCTCAACAACCGACGGGCTCGATCCATCACCTCTTGGGACGATTTGCTCAACAAGTTTATGACCCAATATTGTCCTCCTTCCAAGATGGCCAAATGGAGGAAGAAGATCACTCACTTTGAGCAATAGGAAGATGAGACATTGAGGGATGCATGGGAAAGGTTCTCATACTACTTTCTCCAATGCCCTTACCATGGATTCAAGGAGAAAATTTCGTATAGAGACCTTCTACGGTGGTCTCATTCAAGATGACAAGATTCTCATCGACTCTCTTTGCCAAGGGAATCTTACTCCAATGCTCCACCTCAGTTGACCGAATTGCTCGAAGACATGGCTCTCAAGGGATACGATTGGGGCTTGACGACAAGTGGTAAGAGAAGCACCAAAAGTGGAGTGCGAAGTGTGGGAACAAGTGCTCCACTTGAGGCTAAGCTTGGCAAGTTGATTGAGGTGATCCTTGAGGACAAGAATCAAGGGAAGAGAGCGGTGATGTCTTATGATTGGTGTTCTAGCACTAGTCATGAAATTGCGAATTGCCAAGCAATGAAGGAGACAAGTACCCCTGAGGAGAAAGTGAGTTTCATTGCCAATGCTAGAGGGAACAACCGTTATAGAAACACCTACAACCCCGGGTGGCGCATTCAACAAAAATTTGCTTGGTCTTCCCCCTACCAATCCAAGACCTCCCGGTTTCCAAGGTCCAACGGGAAACTATCAACCTCGTCCGACTTACATCCAACAAAGATCTCAGTTCCAAAACTCGAACTTCCAACAACCATACCAAGCACAAAGAGGTCAAGGGTTCCAACAACAACAACAAACCGAAAAGTTTACTAAACTTGAAGATCTAGTGGCCACCTTTGTGAGTACAAGCTCTCAGAAGTTCGAGAAGATTGAGCAATTCATGGATGTGGCAACCTCAAAGTTTACCTCGGTTGAGGCGGGACTCTGAAGTCATCAAGCAAGTCTTCAGAACTTGGTAGTGCAAATCTTCAATCTTGCCGGTATCCTCATCGAGAGACCAAGGGGAGCCCTACCTTCCCAAACAGTTGAAAATCCCAAAGACAAAAATGCCAGGTTGAATGCGATTCAATTGAGAAGTGGGAAGGTGACTCCGGAGGTTAGTGCCAAAGAAGTGAATGAGAAGGAAGACCCTCAACCGGAGGGTGGAGAAGAAGAAAAATCGGGAGAAAAGAGAGGAGTGGCGAGGAAGGCATCGCCAACACCACCTCCAGTAGCTGAGTACACGCCACCCCTACCTTTTCCCACGAGGATGCATAAGGAAAGATTGGAAGCGGAATGTGGAGGTTTATAGAGATGCTCATAAAAATCCACCTCAATATTCCTTTCCTTAAAACAATGGCCCACGTGCCACGATATTCAAAATACCTCAAGGGGCTTCTCGGCCACCCCTACCTTTTCCCACGAGGATGCATAAGGAAAGATTGGAAGCGGAATGTGGAGGTTTATAGAGATGCTCAGAAAAATCCACCTCAATATTCCTTTTCTTAAAACAATGGCCCACATGCCACGATATTCAAAATACCTCAAGGGGCTTCTCTCCAAGAAGCCAAAGTTCCAAGACCTCGCCAATGTCACCTTAGGCGAGGAGTGCTCATCGCATAGAAAATTTCTTGGCAGACTTAGGAGCAAGCATTAATGTGATGCCCTTTAAGATTCTTAAGATGCTATACTTGGGTGAATTAAAGACTACTAGGCTTAGTGTCACATTGGCCGATCGCTCTGTCATTAGTCCTAGGGGCATTGTGGAAGACGTGCTAGTACGAGTGGGGAAATTCAACTATCCGACGGATTTTGTGATCCTTGATATAAGTGAAGATTCAAAAATGCCACTCATACTAGGATGCCCCTTCCTTGCCACCGCCAAGGCTTTAATTGATGTAATAAGGGGACTTTGATTCTGAGAGACGGTGAGTAGAAAATTACTCTTGGAATTGAATCTAAGCCTAGAAGTGAGGAGGTGAAGGAAGTGGAATAAAATTATATGAATGCAAGTGAAGGAGAGCCTTTCAAGGTGAACCCCACTGTTACTGTTATTCCTTGTGGTGATGTGAAGCACATAACCAAGGAGGGTATCACACCCAAAGAAAGAAGGAAGAGAGCTTGGAGGGAAAGGATGAATCACATTATTGCCCGAAAAAAGGAAGAGGGCAACGTGAAAGTTATCAGCCAAGAAGGCCACCCCATGGATTTTAAGTTGGGAGTTGACAAGCCTCGCCTCGAGACCGTGGCGGATCCACTCTCGTTGGCTTCATGTTCTCAAGCATGATAGAACCGCAACGTCAAGCTAGTGACATTAACTTAGCGCTTGTTGGGAGGCAACCCAACATAGATTTGTTTTCTTTTCCTTATTTTCTCTTTTTGTGGTTGAGTGAAGAGTTTAAGTGGTCAAAGTGGTTTCCCCATGCCAGATCTTTGTGATTGTGTGTCTTGAGATGGGTTGTGATCGATAGTAGGCACGATGGAGTAGGTCGAGTCAAAATTTTCTAGAAATGCCCTGTTTTCACTTCATTTCATAATCTGCACTTGCAGTTCGCAACCTTAATCTACCGTGAACTGCTTAACTCTTCTATGAACCAGGGTGCTTCCACGTGTTGTGAAACTCGTCATTTCACCATAGTTCACGCTCTCCAAGCTATGTTCACAGTCTTAGCGACCGTGAACAGGGTAACGCGTCTATGAACCACGGGGTCTACCTATAAAAGGTTTGCGAACGCCTTATCTTCACTTCACGACCCAAATTTTGCCGAAAAACTTTCGAATTTGTCAGAAAACCGTGGTTTTCCGACAAATTTCGCCATTTTCGTCAACTTCCTGCGATCTAATTAAAAACCAACCACAGACCCAATCTTCCCTCGCCAAGGGCGGCCTTCGCGGAGATTTTGGGAAGATTTGGAGCTGATTTTTCCGGTGAGGCGATTTCCGGTGAGCCTCAGACGAGCTTCTGGCGAGTCTCCGATGACACCTCTCCGGCCTGTTTTCGTGCAATTTTTTGACTCCCTCATCCTAACCTCACTTCCCCTACGATCCTTCTCTAGTCTCCAGGTTTGTTTTCGACCTTACCTTTGTTAATTGTCGAGAATCAAATTAGGGAATGAAGTGAGGTGATTCTAGTGAATTGATTGTTGAACATAGAAATAGGGCAAGGGATTAGTTGATTAGTAGTGCATGAATGCTGAATGTGATATGTACGAGCTTAATTGAGCCTTGGTGGGCATAATTTAAGACAAATTACTTGCAAATGTGAAATTTGCCCACCAAGTGCAAAAATTATGAATGAATGTGGAACTTTTATGTTTGAGTGCCACTGTGATATGGTTTGTGTTCGATTTTTGTGTGGATAAACCGTGAAACACCTAGAACCATGCCTCGGTGTGCTTGATCTTAATTGTTTCAAATGGCATAGGATCGTAGTGGGAACAAAGGTGTTGGGGGAATTCTTTTTCCTCCCAATGAGTTGAGATTGACAATTATTTCCACGTATGGTGCATGTTTGTCTATTTTACAGGATGGTCAATATGAACCACCCGTACCTTTTGGTGCTTAGAGGGAAACCCGCAATGGAAAAAGAGCTGAGATTTTGGGCAAGCGCTCACTTTGGAGACCACTGGAAACTCGACTTCACACTGTTCGATGGTATTCATTGTGAAGATATCATGAGGGAGGTTGTGGCGCACCCACAATGGCACCGACTCCTTGAACTGGAAGATGATATTTATGGGGAGCTGTGTGTCAAGTTTTTTAGTGGGAGCTGTGTGTCAAGTTTTTTAGTACCTTCTGTCGCAACGTCCCTCCGAGGGTTTGTTGGGGTCGTCGCGTTCGCTTTTTGGGAGTCACCATCGATCTTACTTGGAGTGGATCGAACACTCTTCGGTGGGCTCTAACCATATGGTCGGAACCGAGACTTGGTGTGCGAGGACCTTGGTTCGTAATTGTAATATTTTTTGATTTTTCGTTTTAGTGTAGAGATGGGGAAGGGCAATTTTGTAATTGCTTAAAAGGACGGTGGCAGGGGTGTGCAATTTTTAGGAAACCCTAAGAGCAATCTAGTCATTTTAATCGTCAGGGTTTATTATTCAATTAACAACCCAGAAAACCTAGACCTAATCGTTCTCCCCAAACCGGCCGCCCTCAACCTCTCGTTCTCTCTTCTCTTCTCTCTCGTTCAGAAACGATAAATGGTCAAAATCAAAGAATACTGACCTCTTTCTCTTCTTCTATCCCTCGATCTTCCTACCCTACCTTCCCTCGTCTCCTTCTGATGAAACTCGAGCAAAACCCCAGGAAAGTGACGACAAGCAGAGACCCCTCGAAGACCACAGAAAGAGGATGATCCAGAAGGTCTTCACGTCGGCGGTAGCGATTTCTACCCTTGCATGTTATCTTTTTATCGATTTTGGTTTAAGAGCTATTCTAGGATTCTAACCTTCCGTTTTGATTTTTGGGTTATTTATGGTGTTTGATCGAGGGGGAAGATGGGTGGCGAAGGAGACCCGACAGTCTGGCGACGGGAAGGAGTAGATCAGTGTAATTGTTTTTTTTAATAGACCTAGGCTCGATATTTCCTATGCATTTGATTTTTTTGGATTTGGCAGTGGTCTTCGGCGATGAAGGAAGGAGACATAGGTAAGCATATTCTTGTTACTCGATTGGGTTTAAACTTCTAGTGGGGATTATCTAGCGAAGTTTTTATCGTGATGCCAAGAAAAACCACACGTATGATTGAACTTGAAAATGATTCAAAGTTAACTGAAAATCTACCACCGCTAATATTTCAGATTTGAAGAAACGATTGTAGTAGGAGTTTGCTTGATGAGCCTTTCTACTATAGTAGCTTTAAAGTATTGGTGCTTTAAAGTACAACTTTAAGTTGTACCACAACGGTAAAAGTACAAGTTAGAGTTGTACCATAAGAGAATTTGATGTTTAAGTTGTGGTACAACTCCAACTCTTAAAGTTGTACCATAACTTAAATGTACAACTTTAGTTTGTACCATAAAGGGATTTTACAACAAAGTATAGGTACAACCTAAAGTTGTACCATAAAATTAAAGGTACAACTTCAAGTTGTACCATAAAAGCAAAAACTAAAGCACCGATGCTTTAAAGCATTGTAAAATTCCTATTGGTTGATATGTTTTGTATTGTAGAAAATTTGTGTTTCTAATTCTTATACTGCACTTTGAGGATGATAGAAAAACAAATAGCCTCTGCTTAGGACTTTGTCTTTAAAACGAAAGGTTCTATTCTAAGTTATGATCGGATTTGGAGGGGTTCCCTAGAAAACCAAAGAAAATGCCTTTCTATTATACCCTTCTAAAACTGAGTTTATAATAGGTATGAATTGGTTATTTCCTTGCTACTTTCACAAGGACTGAGAAAGGATTTTAGGTTTGGAACTTTGTTAAGCAAACATGCATTTTAAACTAGATATATGAGTCGATAATTAATGAGGGTTAATAATCAACCCAGACAAGTTCTTGAAATAGATAACATGGAAAAGGCATAGTGAACATCACATCTAGTTTTGTTTATGGCTCCCTTAAGCAGATTTTGTGATTAGAAATTCTAGCAGATGGTTAAATTACAAGCATATCTTTTGTGCCATACAAATAACACAGATCTGATTGCATACCCACTATACTTGCATGTAGGGGTGGGCATTGGGTGGGTCGGGTGGATTTTGACCATAAAATGCACCCACCCGCGCTTAAACGGATTGATAATTTTTAACCCACCACCCACCCACATTTAGTCTCGGGTTGGGTCGGGCGGATGGTGGATGATGCGGGTGGGTTTGTGGGTTCACCCACATCACAATGTATATAAATATATAAAGGAGTCAACTTGACATGATAATAGGTGAAGAGAATCATCGAGGGAAACAAGAAGTTGAAATAGGGCGAAAAATGTCGAATTAGTTCTTAAATTGGATAGAATTTCTATTATGAAAGAGTTTTCTACAGATTGAGACGATTATTAGGTGCAAGGAACTAAGGAAAATAATTCCACAAAGGAAAGAACGGTGATCTAGACACAAGAATTTGAGGAAAAATATAGGGAAGAAGAGAGGATCTCTATTTGGAAGGTTGGCTTTGAGGTTCAAACTCCAGGAGCAGTCCGAGTTTATATCTAACGTCTCCGCTCTCCTCTCTCTAGCGCCGACGACTTTGATCTTTTTGTTGTTGGGTTGAGCGGGTCACACGCACACTCACCCACAACCCACCCACCACCCGGCGGATGACTCTCAGCGCAACCCGTCATCCACCCACAGACCCACCCACTTAACGAAATTCTGGTCAAATGCGGGTGGGTCGGCCCAAATCCGCGGATGATCCGCCCGCATGCCCAGCCCTACTTGCAAGAGTTTAGTTCCTAATTAGCTGTGTCTTTATAGTTAAGCATATACATGTCTGTTTACCATGAAGAACATTAATTTCTACTTTCTATCACATACATAGCCATGTTTATTCTTATGAATGGGAGAGGGGATGACTATGGATTTGAGATATACTAACATGGAATTCTCGATGATTCGTTTTGTGGGTTGATTGGATTGCTTGTAGCCTTCTGTTTCCCGGTTCCTCCTTGCTGCCTCTTGTTTGCGGCTTATTGTTTCTGTCCTTTTCTTGAGCATCAGCTCCCTTTTCTTTCTTTAATCATTGGTAAGCTTTCCTTATATGATTGATGTGCACTGTCCTTTTCTTTTGTGTTGGCTGTATATTTTTCTCTTTCTGAGGAGGTGGCTATCCTCTTCTTTTTGTGGGCGGTGGGAAAGTCTGTTGCCTCTTGGAGAGAGGTCTGGAGACGAAATTTGTTTGCCCTGAGGATTGATTTGGTTAGCCTGAACTGGGGTGGAACTCCTGGGATTTAGTATGGACTACTATTTGGGTTGTATTCTGATTATTTTCTTTTTCATTTTGCAGGTTTGTGATCTGGTTTGGGCTCAAAGAGAGGAGAAAAGGAGCCCAATGACTTCAATTGTTGAGTCGGCCCAATTTGAAATGGTGTCTTAAACTTCAAATTTTTTGTTAGCAGCAACAGGCAATCATTGTAATTAGTTTTAGTTCTTGATTTGGTACGTCATTACACATACTTTGTACCATGTGTCAAATTTAATTATGAAGCTTTTGCCTCCATTTCATATATCACGCCCACGTTCGAACCTCTATGCTGAACCTTTCAATGACAAACTTTGTACCTCTATTATTTTTCAGAATTAATGTTTAAGATTTGCTCTGCTAATCTTACTATCTTAATCAGTCCGATTCTATGATATTAACTAATTTGATTCTAGTTAATTATTTGGTGTTCAAGACTTGCTATTGCTAGTCTTGATCAAATCGATATATTTTATGGTTAATAATCAAATCGAAATTATAATTAAATAAACTTGAGTCTGAAAATCATTGTTACTTATTGACTTGCTAGTGCAATCTCGACCAATTCATTTCAAGCATTCTATTTAATTTATCGTTACAATTTTCTTTCTTTTGAGTTTAAATATAGTGGTTGTATCGGACAAAATGTGGTGTCTACACCTTCACCATGTCTAAAACCATGAGCCTGTTCGGAAACTAGAGGCGCACGATGAAATTCCATTATGGCGGAGAATGCCGCACCTTGACTTTCGAAGGGCTAGCCTGAGCCATGGGAGTTGGAGCCGCATCTGGAGCTGAGTGGGAAGAGGACGTGATATGATCCCAATTGGATCAATCCACAATTCAGAATTGCTTGTCAAAGAAGCTATCTCACCTCACTTGAAGAATTCTGATTTTTGGCTAAGTGTTGAAACAGTTTCAGGCAGCCTACTTTGGAAGCTTGTATCTCACAAATTGCTCAATGGAAATTGGAGATCAAGAGCTTGTTTTACAGATAAAGTTGCCATGTTTCCAATGGTATGCTTTGTGGATCCAGATGATGTCATTAAGGTTGTTTTCCAAGGCCTCAAAGTTGCTACTTCAAAACTGGAAAACTGCCAGAAAATGACTAAGGCAGAAAACTGTTTTGTGAAGCCTACTTTGGAGCTCAATTCAAGGAGCGTGGATGTGATCCAAGTCAAAAGGCTTCCTCAACATGAAACTAGGTATGTTTGTGAACAAACGAAGGAATTGGATGAAGAATTGGAGTTCGGGAAGGCCTCGAACAAAAGGCGCGAAGTTAGTACGAAAGCTGCCTTTTGACTGTTTTGCGGGCAGATTACTTGTGCGCCAAGAAAGGAAGTTTATGGCCGAATTTTGAGTCCTTTTTAGAGTTTTTTTTTACCTTAATTGTTTCCTTGTTCATCTAGATTTGCATTAGGTTTTATTGGCTATAAATAGCCCTCCATTTACGTTGTAAAAACAGAAGACTTTGATTAATCGAAAAACCTTTGGTTTTGTGCAAGTTGCGACTTGTTTGAGTTTGGTGGATTCCAAGCTTGTGAGCTTTGTATCGATTGAATATCCTTTTCAATCGTGGTCAAGCAGCTACCCTTTTATACCATACGAGCTTTCCCCAGGTGTGGAATTGTCCGTTGGTTCCGTTTTATCCCAAGTTCGTATTAAGAGCGCTTCGTTCTTGATTCAAGCTCAATCGATTCTTCGATTGAGTCGTTGCTGCGTTACTTTGATAAAAATACACCCTCCAGGGGCGTATTAAGTGGTATCAGAGCCTGGTTCTACACAAGGGCGAAGGAGAAGAAGAACCTGCTGTTTCGTACAAACAGATTTCTCGAGTTCCAAAACAGGGCAGCCCCTGTTTATGCTTTGCAGCTGCTGTTCGTAGCTAAATCGCAATGGCAAACGTGGTTGGAGCTAAGAAGTTGATAGAGGGCAGCACCGAGGCCAAGCAGCCACGAAATTGTAGCAAAGAAACACCTCCAGCAGTCATAATCAAGCATAGGGAGTCCGACGAGCAGCGAGACAACTTATTTCACAGCCGATGTGAAATTAATGGTAAAATCGCTTCTTTGGTGATCGATGGAGGGAGTTGTGCGAATTTAATCAGTACGTATGCCGTAGAAAAGCTTGAATTGAAAACCCAGAAGCATCCTAAACCGTATCATCTCACATGGCTCAATGAACATGGAGACGTGAAGGTCAACAAACAAGCACAAATCGAATTTAGCATTGGTAAGTACCGAGATACGGTTCTCTGTGACGTGGTTCCAATGCAAAACGTTCATATTCTGTTGGGTAGACCGTGGCAATTTGATAGAAGGGTGATACATGATGGTTGGGAGAATTCATATACATTCAAACACGAGGGCAGGAAGATCAAGCTGAAGCCTATGATGCCCGACGAAGTTTTTGCCGATTTGAAGCAGATGGAGAAGAATCGAAACATGGAAAGGGAGTCGCAGGCTCAATTGTGGTTTCAGAGGCGAGTTTGCTTCAACTTTATGAGCTTTAGAAAGCCACAAAGGCAAAAATTCGCGACGGAACCCGCTGCACAAATCGACCCCTGTTCTGCCCAGCAAGATCTCTGTTTTGCGCTGGAGAAACAGAACGTTGAGGAGCAAGCCAAATTCGAGGAGGTAAAGGACGATTCGATCACGCAGGCAAGTGCAAAAATTTTCATCGAAGGTGTAGCGATGATGGATAGTCGAGGAGGATCCCTAGATCATGCTGAAACCACGCAAATTCCTCCAACGACAAGCATTCGGACGCTCTGCCATATTCCCGCGAAACAGGGCAGGAGAGAGGTTGAATTGGTTCGAGCTCTGGGGGATTATTCGAGACCAACCAATGACGCCGTCACGTTCGCTAAGGGTCAGCGAAGCTTACAGGATGGTCAGAGTGTGTCGATTTCACCCAATTCGCAGCATCCAATTCGAGCAGAGATGCCCCTGAAAGTGCTGGAACACGAGTCAAAAGTGGCCGAATGGGATGGGGAGCCTGGGAGTAGTTCGACTCAAATTGGCGCTTCAAAATCTTCAACGTCGATGCCGGGAAGGTGTGAGAATGCTCAATTCAACACGAAGATGAACGAATCAAAAATACCCAATCTGGGTTTTTTGACCCTAAACGCGATGAACAGCGAGCCAGAGGGAGGCGAATTGGATGGGGAGTTTGAGCATGAATCGAACCCATTGGGGGTTGTGGAAAAGTCCCTGATGTTCCAAGGAAGCTCGGGAAGTCTTCCATTTGGTGCAGAGATGGCGGAATCAAAAACGCCCAAAGTTGAATGGGCCTCGCCGGAATCTGGGAAATTGCTGCCGGATTCTGGGAATTCAAACGGTGCAGACGGCGGGAAATTCGTTCTTTGCAATTGGGGTCGAATCGAGCGCAATCGAACATTGAGAACGATGCGGATCGATTCAGAAAATCCAGGCTACGTGAAAGGAGGCAATGAATTTGAACGGGATGGCGCAGAGATGAAACGCCCAAATTCGACGAAGTCGCCGGAAAGCTCGATATCGCCGGATTCTGGAAATAGTTCGCCGGATTCTGGAAATTTTAGAATTTCGATCCTGGATGCAATCAAGCACACTGATTGGTTGGGGAAGGTCCATTGGAACCCTACGAATCTACTGAAACTCAAATCGCGGAGAACAGAAGTCAATTTACGAGCCGAAGAAGAATTTGACGTTCAAAATTTTTTGCCGCAAAGTGTGTTTGAGCAGTCCACTTTCGATCCAATTTGGGATCAATTTTGTGAAGATTTTGAGAAAAGGTCTGAACAAGCTTTGAGGGTGATAGAACTCAAGGAGAGCTCTATCGGTGTTTAGGGATTAGGATCAACTAGGGAATGATCCGGGGTTTAGGAAGGGACAAGAGAATGGAATTGGGATTGGGAAGAATAAAGGGAAGGGGGAAAAGAGGAGGCTGTCGCCAGCCAAAAGGGAGGAAGAGGGGAAAAGGCTGCTATACGCAGCAGAGGGAAGAGAGGGAGGAGGTGGGGTCGGCAGAGGGAAGTGAGAAAGAGGGGTTTAGGTTCTTTGATTAATCCTTTCTTAACCCTAATTCTAACTTACAATAGTTTATATAGAAAATGACCAATTTCCTACTACTACCCAATCTATCAATTATTCCCGACTAGCCCTCACAATCCCAATAATAATAAACCGACAATTAATCAACTAAAATATAAGTTTCTATCATCCCCGTTCCCTTCGAAAATCAACCTTGTCCCCAAGGTTGATCCTCTAGCTCACTAGGTCTCTTCTTCATCATTTCCAGCATCCTCAGCATAGTCCTCTGCGTCATCCTCCCATCGTCCCACCAGCATCATCAAGTCTTCCTTGGGGCACTGATGCCCAATGGTGAATCGGCCATCACACTTGAAGCACTTGCCTTCACGCCTCTTCTGGTCAATCTCGGCCGGTGACAGCCGCGCGAAACCCTTTGGTATGGCCCTCGGCCCCATCCTGGCTACCGGAACGGGCCCTCCACTGCCAGTGATAGCCCCGGTCGGCCCTACCCCCGCCGCTCCTCCTGCGCCTCCACTACTCCCACTGCTCGACTTTGGAAACCGGCCAATGGCGCTCCTCCAACTAGCGAGCTCTTCCTCCTTATGACCTGCAAGTCGGAAAGCCATCTTCAGGGAGTCAGGCTCAAACACCCGGACTCCCGCTGCTATCTCGGGCTTGAGACCCGCCATGCACAGCCCCACCAAGGTGTCCTCTGAGACTCCCTTGCACTGATTTCCCAACTTGAAAAACTCTGCCCGGTATTCAGCCACCGTGCCGGTCTGCTTCAGTTTTGCCAACTGCTCCGGCGCCCACCCCTCTGACTTCCCAAACTGATAACGGAGCTCTTCCTGAAACATAGGCCAGGTGATCGGGGTGGCTGCCGCGGCATAGGATCGTTCCATCCACTCCCACCACTGGAGCGCATCTCCCTCCAGATAAAACGACGCCAGATAGGCCTTTCTCTCCTCCGGGACCGGATGGTTTCTAAACCACCTCTCTGCTGCATACAACCAAAGACCTGCATCCTCTTGCCCATTGAATTTGGGAAACTCAATGGTCGGAGGCTTAGCTCGAAAAACCACTCCATCCATTCCTTCATAATTCATATAGCGAGACCCATACCTGTCATTTCCGGGAGTCCTTCACGGCGGCCCCAAAGAAGATCCCGGCATCCGGTTCGGGTTCT